CCAAACCAGGGGACCATGTCCAACACGAGGGCTGGGTTTCAGAGATCATTGTAACACATGAACCATACACATCATCTGCTACACACACACACACAAATATCAGTACAAGGGCTCAGACACAGGCCCCGTCAAATGGGTCAGCTTAGAAAAGGGAGGGGCCCAATTACCGTAGCCACAAATACACACATAAAGTGCTTTTCAAGGGTCCACGAGTGCTTCAGCTTCCCCATGATTATGCCCACTCTCCACACACACACACACACACACACACACACACACACACACACACACACACACACACACACACCAAGCACTTGCTGTGTAAATACAGGCCTTCCTGTGCCAAAACAGCCATCAGCCTGGACTTTGGCTGAGGATCATCCACGAGGATGTGTTGGACTGGTTTGAAAGATGAGAGCTTTCTGTGGTCGGAGCGAACACGGGGAGGGAGGACGGAACGAGCTGTCGAACTAGTCAGCAACTATCAGTGATATGTTCTGCCATATTTAAACATAGAGAGATTGAATTTAAAGAAATCGATGTAAACTTGAATCAATTTGTAATGCATTAAAGTGAAAATATTACGATGTAGTCTTAGCCTGAACAATCTGCGGTGTATATAAATATATGCCAGTGCATGGGTCGGTCCTGCACCACTTCCTCCAGAAGTAAATCAATTACATTTGCACAACTCCCATTTGCACAGTATGTGTTTACAACATGAAGCAGGGCAGAGTATTTTGAGTGCTTGGTTTTATTGTGTACAGTGTATTTGTGTAGAATATGTGAAGGTTAAATCTCAAATAAAATATGTCTATAAGAGACATTATAGACTTGAATCGGTCCACAATTGTTTTTTTTGTAGTAGTCCTCTTCATTCCTTGAGAGACATAAGGCAATGACTATCTGCATCTATCTGGACCTGTCCTATGCTATGTGTTGGGCCTCTCCTCTCTTTAAGCTTGGCCGTCACAGTTCACGGACATGTTACTTTGGGCCGACCTTGTTTGCGTTATCCAGTTAGTGACCATCTAAGGGCAGTTTTTGGAATGCAGTTCTGGTCCATTCTGAGGACACGCCCAAGCCATTGTACGCACCTACAGCTGATCTCTTCTTATCTTCTTGTCATCTATAATAATGATTGAGCCTAATTTATCTCTGTCTTTCCTTCATTCAATTCAGTTCAATTCAATGTATCATTCCTTCCTTTCATCGTAGCATGAATGCATCTTGTTTCCACATAAAAAATAAATGGTCTATTTTGTTTTGTGTGACTAACCTGCATTGTCACACACAATCCAGATAAAATGTGTTTAATTATATATTAATCATGTTACAATCAAATGCTGAACATAATGGCTTTGTGTGCTGATGGAAAGTAATTGATTGACGTCACTACATAAGGAAAAAGGTCAACAAACTTTGATCACAAAGATATTACACGCCACATATTATTATCATTATTAACTTTTTCAAGTGATTATAAATGAGAGAGTTATGAATACAAAGGGTAAATGTGGGGTTTTGATTTCCAGAGGAGACAAATAGAGCACAGGACTGGTGGTGCACGTATACAATGGTGGAGTAATGGAGCCCCCTTCTGTCTGAAATACAACATAACTCTGCATTTAATGGTCACACTGTTCTCCAGAGTCATAAAAAAGGAGACTTTATGTAAAACTGTGCAAAATCAGGCTTTATTCTTTTTTTTCCTCCTGCATTGTCGCCTTTCATCATAATCATAATCACCATCATTGTCGTTGACATCATCTCTGAAAACATTACTCACCAGAGACAGGGAGGCGAGAGAACAGATTCTCAAAGAGACTCAAAGCTCAAACCTCTTGGCAAAAAAAACAGGCATCAGTTTTTAGCACAGTCAACTGCACACACCCGTCTCTTTCTTTGCAAAATGGTTAAAGAAGTCCTCCCATTGTCCTTATTTACAGTTCGTTCTCTTTCAGTGCCTCAGAGTCCATTCAGTAGTCGGAATCTTTAGTTCCAGGAAACACTGAAAGCCCATATTAGTACAGACATAGTTAAGATGTTGAATATTATAGTTTTCCTGACTCCGTTAATATTTTTTTTACCCTCTTTTCCTCCACTGCTGCAGGTCCGAGGACAGTCCATTTCTCCAGCTTAGGCAAACTTTGAATAAGTGCAATGTCTAGTATAATGTCAAGAAAATACAAACCCACACATACATACATACGTACATACATACATACAGTACATGACTAACTGATAAACTTGATTAGCTATACAAGGTTCTCAAAGAGCTGCACTTTAATGCACCTCTGTAACATCCAGTGTCCGATAGGTCGGAGTGGGAGGGATGTGAGCTCACCTGGACTGGATACTCTCTGTAGATAGTTTGGTTAAATTGTCCATGTTTTTCTGTACAGTGAATTTTTGTTCATCCAATGAGAAGTGTAGATCATACACAAAGAGATTTATTGAAAAATAAATTATCGAAAGGAAAAAGATGCCTGATTAAACAAACTTATTTTTAAACCTATCTTTGTCAAAATATCAAGACAGGAGCATATTTTCAGACAAATGCATGAAAATGCAAAAATAATGTCCAGTGGAACACAGGCTACCCTCTGTAAAACAAAACAATGAATTAAAAGCGAAACAACAGTGGAATCATACCAACGCTTTTACATTACAGGGTCTAATCTCATTATTGTTAATCAAAAAATATAATTAAATAAAGATTTAAGGACATTTCACACGTTTGTCCAGTCAGATAGAAGTAATGTTTTTTTTTTGAGGAGCTGTGAGGTTTTGAAAGTGCATCATCGATCAGAACGGTCTTGATCCAGTCATGAAAAATCACAACACTGTTAACTGCTTTTTTTTTTTTTTTTTAACATTTGATAATCAAAGTGCCCATAGTGTACGTAACTACGCCTCGTTTACTGGACTCTGGCAGCTTCATCCAGTCAGACAAGGACAAAAACAACAGAGCGCTGCCTGCTCCCCGTCAGATTACCATAAATTCACAGAAGCTTAATTCATGTCTTTAGTTGAGGAAAATGAAATCAGAGATAATGCCTTCGTAAACACAATAAGATAACAAACTTCTATGTGCATGTAAATCCATCCAACCACAAAGGGATTTAATTATTGTTTGGAATTCTTTTTTTTACTAGATATTCACAAAGAGAAATGATAAATAGAGATAATTAGTCCAACGGATCAGTGGAAGTGCAGCATGAAGGAGAAAGCCCAGTTGATCCAAGATTTGAAAGTGGGTGTGTGAATATATTGTACGTGTGGAGAGCCAGTGACTACCCTGGTTTTTTCTTCAGCAGAGTTACAGTTTTGTTGTTAGTGTCATGAACTGAGAAAAGCAGACAGACTTTGACCAGGCTCAAATCTAACGGACGGTTAAATAAACATGTAGCGTGTAATCATTTAGGAACAAGAGGAGAGAGGGTAAAATGAGAGGACCAGCAAAAAAAAAAACTCTAGAAACAATGTGCTCAGGAGCTGCCTCGGCCTTCAGTATCAGGCCCGAGGTCCACTCGCCAAAACATTCGCTCTTTCAGCCTGCCTGCCTGTGTGCCTCCTCCAGAATCCGTCGGTGTGTCGCTGCTGAACCTCTATTAGCTGGAGTAGATCTGGGTCCCAATCACACGCATGATCTCCTTCTGAACCTTAGGCTCCTGGGTGTTGATGTTGGCATCTCCTACTTGGCCATCCTCATACCTGCACATGTTCATACAGAAACCTGGAGTTTGTATACAGTACAGCTACATATCATTCAGTATGTTTTATTACCCTGGGAAATAAGTAAAGTTTATTCATTTTTCTGTTGTGTTTTTCTCTACTATGTAGTAGTATAAGGGCCCCAGATGAATAAGTATAGTAGAATCTCATTTTATAAACAAGGCATAGTACTGTTGATAAAAAATAATCTTTGCAACTGAGTCTCCTTGAGTTACTCTTATACCTGCTGCAATTTTCAGTTTCAGACCTTGACCAGGCTCAAGAGAGAACTAACCAAGCTGGACCTCAACCTGACAGGAATTCTGTTTTTGTGTCCAAAGCCGATCAGGCACGTGCATGGTAAACATGGAAAACAAGTAGACACCCCAGCTGACATGACAAAGCCAAACTCACACATGCTTATCATTTGTATGCACACACTACAGTGGTGTAAGGTCTGACGCAACATATCATCTTGTTTTAATTCCAAACAAGTTGAATTATGTTTGTCTGTGATCTGAATAAGATTCTGGGCCGTCACAAAGCTTCTGATCCGAACTCTAACATCAGCAGCCACGATTAACCTGATGGACTCTAACACATAAAAAGAAATAATATTGAAAGTCTCTGACGTGATAGAAACCCAGTTTAGAGGAGCAGTCCCACCACTCAACCGTGAGCACAATTCATTCACGATCAGTTTAAAATGATGCCGAGTGATGAGGGATGACAGCAGCATGTAGCTTATAATAACTCTCCATTAAATTACCATCATGTGCAGTTTAACAGGTGAAACTGTGCAACCAGCGTAATGAGCGATCGTTTGTTTAAGGGTCATGATGATTTTCATTTTGCCTGCTCCCTGGTTGCCATGTATTAACTCAGGTATTAACTCTTTGGGGTTAAAAAGCTTTGGTGATACTCACACAAAAAAGAAGCGAGTACAGACGTGGTCGGAGACGGGACACACCCAGATGTTTCCATGTTTCTGCAGATCTTTAGATGTGATAACTGTTTCAAAGACACAAGCATATTTCACCAATAGTAATAACACTCTTATTATTCTATGATTGTATTAATGGTTGCTGTTGTTGTAGTGTTCCATTATAGATTCACACAACTATAAGGGCTTAAACTCAATTATCCTAAGTGATGCACTTTATTTCTTCTGTTTTTTAAAATGGTTTATGATAATTATGACCATATTATTATAATTGCTGAGATTTTTATATAATTCTAAATCATACATTGACACACAAGTAACTTTTATTAAGATTTCAATTGTATTAATTTATGGAATTTTCTTCCTGTTCTTCATTTCTTTTGTAGATCGTTTTTAAATTTAACAAATGTTATTAAATAATGAATATTAATTATTTGTACATTTTATTAAACTTGTGCTTGTTAATAGACAGAATCAAACAATTCTACAAACTCTCTTTTATCTCAGCTTTATCAAATGTTCTTACCTTCACACAGAGCGATGCAGTTCAGGTTTCGACTCTGAAGAAACCTTGATTGTATTGGTCGGCTCTATTGAAAAAAAATTAAGAACAACATAAAGTAGGCTTTAGCAACTGAGCTGCTCCAGTAAATACCAATATCTAACTGAGCTCTAACACCAATAGTTACATAATAATTGAATATAATTTAATTTAAACTTATTTTACACATTTTAAATTTAATTCTTCCTTTTGCTCAACAGTTCTCATCTGGAAATCAGTGTTGTTTTCTCTCAAAGATATAAATTGTCCTGTGTCTCCGGCCCTTAATTTTGTCTTTGGTTGCAATAGGAATCTGGAATCATGTTGCCCGACAATATATGACTTAATAAATTCATTAAGTAAGGATGTAATGTGTCATGCTCTCACCTGTGGTATGGTGTTCATGCGGTTGTAACGCTGCACCAGTTCATCTTTGGTGGGCATGCGGTGCTGTCCTTTCCCCATTCCTGCAAGAAGCAAAAGCACACAGAGAGTAAACAACCCTCAGTCAGAGCGACCTTACCTCGAGTCATTCATGCTGTGAAAAAGCTGCCTCTAGTGGTCTCCAACGCCTTGTAAAGATAAATTATTACCCACAGTGCTCACCTTCAGATCAAGGTTACTGGCCCAAAATGCTGGTGAACATTTCTACATGAGAAAAAACTCCCAAATGAATTTCAGCATCATAAACAAAAGTGGGTACAGCATGTACAGCTGTCATACCTTTTATCAAGAAATGAGCTGAAACTCAATATTCTTTAGAGAGTACAATTATCTATAATAATCTAAATAACTGGGTTTGATCTTGCAAGAGCAGATAAGACCAAATGGATTCAAGACCAGAAATGTTGCATCAGTCTTTAGCTAACATTCAAAAATTCCAACGTTAAAGCTGGGAAACCATTGTAACAGACGGGCCCTGGTTCCAATCTGCTAACCTGCTGACCACAATACCAGCCTCTGACTACCATTGTACATCCTGAAATCAAACTTTTGAATTTGGGTTCAGCAGAAATAAAACATGACAGACACTTTTAGAACACCTCTGGTTCCTGAAGTGAATTTCCTATTCGTTTCCTCCACTGACATTTCAGAAAATCTTTATAAAAGGATTTTTAAGGCCGACCAGCTACAAGATGAATGTGACAATGAAACATTTGATTCGGAGAAAATAAATGTAATTGACACTTTCATCATCTCTAAATTACATCAGTGTTTTAGAGAGGGAAATCATGGTTGCTTTGAGGATGACGTAATAAAACGCTAAATGATCTGATTGTAGTTGACATGATTTTAGCAGTTGTGGTAAACATTTCCATGGTAAAAGTGAGCTCCACCAATCTGAGATGTCACAATTACACCTGAGGATCATGGGTAGTGTAGTACGTCTCCTTGACATTGTGAATAAAACACGGTTTTCTTAAAATGCAGTTGATATCATAAGACAATCTTGTATGTTATAGATCTACATTGGATGGTAACAATATTATGGCTGATAATCAAAAGCTTTATTCAGAAAACGAATACGATGTTTACTCCCGGAACCACGTTGTTGAGCTCTATAAACAGGAACTCATGTACTAAAGGTTTAAATGGTTGTACACACCCACCCCACAAAAACAAACCAAATAGCTAAAAAAGCACAAAGTAACACACACAAACCCACTGAGCAACAACAACAAGTATGGTATGGTAGGTGGCAGACAAGTTCAGAGGCCCGAGGCCTGACACCCATGATGAACACACAACACAGTGAAGCACAAGAGGATAGCATGGAAACTTCCCGCATGTGAAAATGAAATATTCCAGGATGATATTCAGGCCATGTCACACACAGAACACACAGAATCATGTTCACCATCACGATGGAAAACAGGGAAAAGGGGGCCCGGCAGGGTCTGATTGGCGAGGGATGATCCATCACCTACCTGAGTATCCAAAAGATATGCTGGAGATGGGGCTCAGATAGATGCCCTTTCCATACGCTGCCCCATGCAGCTTGGGTTTGAAAAGAGCAGGAAGGAAGGTTTGGGTCACTGAGCAGTTGCACAGGACGTCACACACTCACACACACGGTATGTGTACACTCACACTCAGCTTACTGTGTTTAAATCGTAGGAAATGATAGGAAGATATATCTCTGTCTGTAACATTTTACCTTGCAAATCCCACCACAGAGCAAACTGAATACATTCCACCCAAATGGTGGATCTCACATCAGGACAGCGGAGAGTCCACACATCTTCCACCGCAGGCTAAAAACACATCTCTTCCGACTATACATTGGTTAAGAAGATGATCTCAGTCAGGTTGCACATATATGTCGCACTTGCATGTAGCACTTTGTATTTTGGCTTTTTTAAGCTAATTTACTTACATGATTCTTGCTGTTTTGAGTTTGTACCCTCATAGCTGAATGCACTTATTTGAAGTTGCTTTGGATAAAAGTGTCAGCTAAATGATATGCAATGTAATGTAATACATATAACAACACACATATACATAAACACATACAAAAAATCTAAAGATGGCAGGCAGTAACGTGCCGAAGAGAGAGAAATAGGTTGCATTATTCAAGTGATCTGAAACATCTCCAATAATCTGCAGAGTCACACCGTTTAACTGTGGACATATTTTCTCCTTACAGCACAGTGCAGTCCAGCGAGGATCGTTTCATGCTCTTGAATTTTGCGAGTGAAATTTATGTATAACACGACCAGGTATTTAAGGAATGCTGGTGTCAGAAATGAGGCCACGGATGCTGGTTTGAGGATGAAACATGACATGAGGATGACAATGAACCTTCACACAAGGATGGATGTCCGTGATGAGAAAGCACAAGTGCGACATGGAGAAGTGGTCGTGAGCTACAGTAAAAGAAACAAGAGGAAGAACAAAGAGCAACTTGATAGTTTGGGAATAAAAAAGCAGAGAGATGGAAGTCAGGACGAATCTAGGAGAAATGAAAGGAACGATGGGGGGTTGTGTGATGACTGGAGCTGCAGGCTAATGCCGCCTCCCTCCTCCTCTTCCACAATGACCTGGGGTGGTGGCGTCGAACAGGCAGGGATGGGTGGGTGCTTGTCATTGCTCAAGGTGAAACGGAGAGGAGAAAGAAAGAGGAGGCGGAAGAGCAGAGGGGCGAGATCAAAGATGGAGAGTTCAAAAAAGTTGGGAGAACAAAAGAAGGTGTGAATTAAACACATCAGCGTGATACAGCGATCACAGCCGACAAGATAGTTTCACAGATCCTTGAGATTTCAGATTTAATTGTGTTTAATCTTTTTTAAGGACGAGTTGGTGTATCAGTAATTATCCACCGTGCTGTGCTGTGCTCTCTAGCGCTCTATTAATCTTTTCTTGTTTTTGTTATATTTATCTTCTGCAGACCTGCATCACTAACTGCAACACTTAAAATGAAATGAAGATGCAGATTGAAGCAGGGGAGAATGGAATGTTGTTGTTTTTTGGTGTCTGCCTTGAAATGATCTTTTTGATCCTGATGTGGTCATTTGTACCAATCTGGTATTTTTTAATGAACTCTTTAATGATTCGAGGCAACTATCTGACCTTCAGATAATGAGGGGTGCCAGTTACTGACCTTATATTGAAGCCTTCCTTACTGTATTCACCCACAGGAAGGTACTCACTATCACAGAGCTTGTCCTTTGCATCCTTCAGCTTCGGACCTACCCTACTCAGTGCTCTAGGTGGTTGCCCCCTACAGGGCACACAGGGCAGCCTCCTGACATAACAGCTGACACCACAGCCCCCCCCCCCCTTTGTCCCCCCAACAGGAAGAGACGTGCTGTCCGCTGCTGTCCGCTGCAGTAATAGTCAGAGAGCAGCCGACATTGGCCAGGAAAATCTCCCTGTGTGCCCTGCTCGCTATAGTGCCAAACGCAAAAGCTGATGAAAGGGAAGCTGGCATCCATTAACTGCAAAAATGAATCAGCCGGACAACGAGCCTGCTCTATCTGAGAGCAGGTTTACTGTCCGAGAGGAGATGCGTCGTAAATTCCAGCCAACTGCCAGGGTTACGTACCTGCAGTTTGGTATAAGAGGCATTGACTAGTCCATTTCTCAGAACAGAGTGCCAGTTCTCTATATGGGAACCACTAGAGCAAGTGTAGAGAGAGGGAGAGATAAGAAAGGAGAGATGAAACCAAGTGTTGTGTGATGCGTGGATCTCTCATGATGTGTGCTGGCTAGACCATGCTGGTCAAGAACATTGGAATTAAATGACACTGGTGCATCTTTTTATGTGACCTCTGATTCACTTAACAGTCTGTCCACCAACATCTGGAATTCAATTCAATTCAATAAAATCTGCTTTATAAATCTCCTATATGATATATAAATTATCAACACAAAGCAGTGACTGGGACTAGCTAGTGGCCATTTATAAAAATTATATTTATTGTTTGTAAATATCATAAATTATTAGTCTAAAGTAAGATAATATAATCCTTTGTTCGTCCCACAACAGAGAAATTTGCAATGTTACAGCAGCAACAGGGAGTCAAAATAAACATCAGTAAGTAATAGTAAATAAGCATGCCATACTAATTGTACAGAAATATAAAAATATAAATAAAATATAAAACCCTTATATATATATATGGTGTAAAAACAGAATATATACAGTATATATATATATTTGAACATAAACCATTTACTCTACTAAGCTGAGCTTTACAGCTTTTTAATCTTTATCTTTTAATTGTACATACCTATTTTTGAAAGTCTACTTTTTTAAATTCATGAGGTGGGCTGTCAGCATCTGATATTACAATTCTGGTACATAATTGTAGTCATCTGAATTTATATCATTTTATAGTGTGAAAACTTATTGACAACCCATTACTGTATTGTTTGTCTTAAATTTTTAACTACGAAAGCACATTATAACTGTGTTTTGAAAGGTGCTTTATGAATACAGTTTATAATTAATATTATTGAAATGGGCTGGTTAAATACATCCCCCAGTGAAGGTATCTGGATTAACTTAAAATAAGATGCAGTCAGTCGCCACAGTGCCATCTTGGCTCTGTTGTTATTCTTATGGAAAGTTTTAAAACTATGTAAGGTTCTTGTTCCTACAGCCTAATAAATAAACAAGTGGAAGTTCTTGAGATTCGCTTGTAAATCCCTTAAATCATAATTAAACATACTCTGGACATGCATTCATATTTCTAATCTCTTAATATCAATGTAAAATAATTGCTAACAAGCTGACTCACTATTTTTGGTATTTTCTGAGGATGATCAAGTTTGGAGAATTAATCAGCAGAAAGAGAGTGTTAACACTGCTCGTGTGTGAGCTGAACCGTGCAAGTGCCCAGATGGGCCGAGTGTATCTAAAATATTCAGCAGAGCCCCATCTGCTACAGTACAAGTGTCTATCCCACAGACACTGCTGGCTCCATGTGCTGGCTCAGCAAGGTGGTTTCTCTGTCCAAGAGAAGGACCACTGCTCTGTGCTGTTGTTTGTTATGGTTCCATAAAAATCTGCTCCATCCACAGCATAATGACCGGGTGTTACACTCGGACATGTTCCTGTGTGTACCACTGTACTGCTAAATTATGTATGCATGCAAGTATGCTTGATATGACATCAATTATTTACAGAATGTGATTTCTCATATTTCCTCTACAGCCACAAGTTTAACAATATAAAAACTACACATTAAAGCTAGGATTTAATGGTAATCCTGGAAAATCAATAGTAGGCTTCACTTTGAAAATATGCAACAGATACACCCCCTTTCATTAGCCCTCGTCAAAGCTACGCCCCAAAACACATGAACATGCACAGCCTGCACAGACAACTGCTAGAGGACGACTTTTCCATGACTCGCTTGCTAACGTCTGGATATCATTTCTGTTTCACTGGTGTATGTCTCTGTCTGTTAGTGATGGACAGGTACCCCAAAGTGGACAAAGGCCAAAGTGGACTCACTGGAAGGCGAAGGTGCTGCCGTATAACTTCTTGGCAGTGCGAAAACGAGCCTCCTTGGCCGGGGGACTGCTGAGCAGCAGGAACTGGTGGGAGGTGTGCATGAATTTCAGTTGCTGCCATGAGGAGATCACAGGGGACAAGTGAGGACAAGAGAGAGAGACAAATTGAAAGATTGAAAATGTGAGCATTAACAATCAAGTTGCTCATTGAAGATTTAAACAACTCATTAATAATAAAGGAGAGTTGAAGGGGATGCTATTCTGGTGTCCTACCCTACTGAGAGGCAGCTTGACAATATGAGACCTGTTACTGGAAATAATCCTGCAGAGAGAGAGAAGATCACACAATAAATAACATTCGAATTTAGCCAAATTTAAAGTTCCTGCCATTTGCTAACACCCTCGCACAAAAGCATGAAGAATGTTTCAAAGTTAATCGGTTCTGTTTCTTTCATTATTGATGCTTCTATTTGCCAGTGAATAATAATAATAAGCATCTACAGCATATATGTAGCACTTATTGAAACCATGTTTTACAGAACAAAATAAGACTTAATAAAAATATGAATGATTATATCATGACCGCATGATGGAGAGCCTATTTTTCCTGCTGATACATATTAAAAGCTCTATTAATGTCTTCAGTATTAAAATGGTGTCCTTGATCATAGTTAATATCGCCAGTTTGACATGATCTCTAAGAAGTACTGCCGAATATTTTCTCTGAAACAAAGTCAAAGCAGATTAAATCCATTTTTAGGACAAACCCTGTTTACTCACCACTGCAGCAGCGGATGGGCCAGAGGGTCCAGTTTGTCCATCTGTTTCTTGATCTCCAGATATGAGCCCTGCAAACGCCACATAAAGCACGTGTTGTTGTCAGATAGTTTTCAGCATAGATACAGTCCCACCACAATGAGTAAACAGCAGAGTGAGTTAAAGTAACACAGACAAGATAAACTATATATATATATACGGGTATATACTGTTCGTATATAAAAACTGTCACTGTGAAGGGAAAGTCCACAACCACATGCAGCTTGACACAACAGTGGAAAAAACAGGACTGTGGAACCATAATTATGGTGGGCAAAGAATGAGGATTTTATATAAATGGAAAACCTTAAAATTATATCTACACACGATAAATCAAGTGTCCCTTTTTCCCCTCCCATTTCCACCTCGTACCTGGGTCATTTCCCGGATGGACATAACGCTATCCAGTGCTTTCTGCAGTCTCTCATAATTCTTCTTCTGTGTTCATTGGTTAAACCAAACATCCATTGTATGCAATGAGAGAGGGAGAAACATACAGAGATCTTAAATCACTTGCATGAGGTTAAAAATTGTTTTTTTTAAATGTTACCTATCCATGATCTCATGCATTATCTTACATAGCTATATCAGCAGTTTAATTTATTTATTTTGACACAAGTATATGTTTATCTTGGAATGAAATCCACATATTGAAGGCAATTAATTATGATTCAAGCAGTGCTGACCTTTGGGTTGAAGGCCAAGGTCTTGGGGTCATTGGGGTCGACGACTGATGGGTAGGGCTCAAAGATGATGCTTTTACGAGGAGACTCAAGAGCTGCTCGACACATAGCCACAAGTAGGTCCACCACCTGGAAAGACGGAGGTTTTACATTTATAAATCTTTTATTTATAAATGTAAATCTTATACCTAAGCTATATATCATATACTATATTGAATCTATCTTTTTATTATATTCTATTTTTTATTAAATCTGCAATGTACTATGTGTTGCTGTCACCTCTGCTCCAGTGGCCACTTCCTCTGCAGCTCCTGACATCACACCCAGAGTGTAGAAGGAGAACACACACAGCTCCCTGGTGCACACTGCAGGCTACATTAACACACCAAGACACAGAATAATGAAATAACGCTAATTTGAATGTATATTACACAGCTAGACAAACACAAGTACACCTGCTAACACATGGACTGACACAAACTCTTTTGTTAACAGGATCATATATTAATAAATGTCACATTTTGGGAAAGGTTGATTAATCTCTCCTCTATGTTTCTCTTTCTCTGCCTGCGTTACCTTCAGCATGGATCCATTCTGAAAGACGTGCTGTTCGTCACAGACCACGCAGTACTCGTTGAGTGTGGGGATCCTCTGCTCTGAGTACTTCATTATCTGTCAGGAGAAAAGCATAGTTGTGCACTGCCGCATAAAGGAATAAAGAATTGTTTGGCAGAGGAGTTGTCACAAATTACAATTTTGCACTGCAGCTACTGCTGGCTTAGAGTGCTGGGAGGTCCCTGCTCATAAAATGCAGTGTGGGTCCCCATTATTTGCCTTTCCAACTACCAGCATACACACAATGCACAGCTTAGGGTCCTCACATTCATATAGATTGTAAGGTAGGCTCTAAATGTTGATAATATACAGCACATACAAGAATCACTCTGCCAAGGAGATTACATTTTTTAACCTCTGGTAGTTAGTTTAAAAGCAAAATTATGCAAAAATCCAGGATTCCCCCTTGATGTTAAATCTGGTGTGTTTAAGTAAAAAGTATCTAAAAGTGTGTGCACTTCGGTACGGCTGGATTGGATTTGATTGGACCGTTTGGTTCTTGGTGGTGGTATGCACTCTACTTAGCACCATTGGAGTTATGAACTGTACTTAAGGTCCTGACCTTCTATGTAAAGTGCCTTGAGATAATGTATATTATGATTTGGCGCTATACAAATAAAACTGAATTGAATTGAACTTCCTCCTTATACAAATTCCCATTGGTCATTGGTTTTAAATGTGGGAGAATACACTAGAGAGGACTCTCACAAGACATGGTGTATAAGTGCTTCTTCAAGTGATCTCTAATCTCCTTAAGGTCTAACCTGCACTAAGAAGCCATACTCCAAGGTAGGGATGTTCTTGCAGTGGCCGCCCGCCTGGGATGAGAAAAACAATTCAATCAGCTGCCTCGTGGTAATCTGCGCTGGGGCCCTGGCCGCCGGGACAGCCACAGTCTGATGAGTCAAGTGAAGACAAAGCATTATGGGAAACGGTGCAGCAGCCATGTAATGGTAAGGGCAGGGAAAAGACTCGGGTGGGGGAACAGTGCGGGTGGCAGGTGACTAAGAAGGAGGGTCAGAGCGGGTCACAGTGGATTAAGAGACAAAGATACAGTGCCTTAAAAACAGCATATATATTTTTACATTTACACATTAAACATGTTTTTCAGGATCGTGGTTCACACTGAACAAATTATAATCAAATCAAAACTTACAAACCAGTGTAAGTAGTGTAGTATTTACAGTTTCAGTGTTGTGACACATTAAGAAATGTTAGGGAGACACACCAAAGGCAACAAGATGAATCTGGCTGAATAAATAGCTGCTCATTCATTCTGACTGGCACTGACCTGGCTGTTTGGAGGATAACTGTACAGCTCGCCTTTAGGGTTCTTCATGGTACATGAGATGGAGCGGTTCATCAGACGGGTCACTCTCAGCTCAGGGACACTCAGCTTCCCTTTTAAAACTGTGTCTTGGATCAGAGGGAAACTTGGAGACCTGGTAAAAAGCAAGACACAAAACATTTGCATTAAAAGGAAATGCTACTACTGGTGTTATCTACATCTTTGTAAAACGTTTATTTACCATTAACTAGTTGTTCATTAGCGTACATATTGGATCTTTATTTGTCAATATTCCAGCTTATTAAAATAGCTGTGTGTGTTTTTTAGTTTTTTTTCAGTTTTACTTTTGTCTTTTAGTTTGAAGCGGGGAAAACTTTGGAGTAGGGGACCTGTGTGGGGTAATAAGTACCTTACTACAGTACTAGTAAAGTAATTATGAGCAAGACCTCACTTATATATTCTATAGACTTGATTCAGACTTAAGAACTTTATTATTTTATTTGAACCCTAACACTTGTAATTTTGTATTTTTGTATATATTTATATATATATATATATAAATGAAGAAAATGAGTTAAGCATGAATACAACATTAATAAGTGTTTTATGATGAATAATAAAGAGACAATATGTTATGTGTACGCTAACCAATAAATAGGTGCACCTTATTAAAAAGTGGTACCTAAAAACTTAACAATAAACAGTTGTTTGGCTTCAACGTGGGAAGGGTTTGGCTTACACTGCTAAATTATAAATATAGCTTATTATCATAATTATTATAATGATCCTATGAATAAAACCTGAATTATCAATGACATCAATGACATCTCCTCAGCTGTCTAGTGAAAAGTTTTTTGACAGTATCTGAAGTCGCTAACTGTTAAAAAGAACAAGAACCAGTGTTCACTTTCAGCATCACTCAGGATATGATCCATGTACCCTCTTGACATGAGACTCCTGTCAAGTCATAAGGATGTCAGACAGCCTGGTAGTTAGTGAGGCTGACGTCCAGCGAGTGGGCCGAGACTCAGTCCCTGTGCACCCATAACTGTCAAAGCATCTTGAAGTAAGACAGAGGCCAGGGAGAGGACCTCTCCCTGAGGGAAACTGGTTGTGTTTGTGTCAGATTTTGAATTTTAGTCAATCCACATATTGTGCTGTGTCAGAGCCTCCTTTGCTCGGCTCGTCATCAATGCTACGCTTCACCTTTCACAGACAGAAGGGTATAAAGTGTTTTCAACACTATCTTTACAGTTTGTTGACCAGAGTGATACGTTTTACTCCGATCCCTCAGAAATCTCCTGTCTTGGAAAAATAGCTTTCTTGTAAGTGTCTAAAATCTACAGCACCATTCAGGATCTGACAGATGTGATGCTGTGGACAACAGTCACCATGAAACTGGATAAACAGCACGTCTCCAGAATAAAGATGAGATCTTTTGTGAGCAGAAGTAGACTGAATCACACAAGTTTAGAGATGCACAGTGTACTGTGACACAGTGACCAATCATAAGCTCTTTCTAAATCATTACCAACCAATTGTAAATGGACAAAGTTAATCAGCAAAAATTTTTAAATATCTACACAACCTGAAAAATATACCACAGATTTTTTGGCAAATAATGCTGTTCTAATGTACTTAAACATGAGGAAACAGGTGTTTTTGATTAGATGAGTTTGGCCCCATCCTCCCATTCAGACCAATATCCATCCTTCCTGAAACTAGTCAGTCATGTGACAAACATTAATCTAAAATGAGGTGGGTTGATATGTTCACTACCATGAGGAGCACCCAATGGGAATGCCGCTTAAGCATTTTCATAAACAACCAAGATGGCTGCCGTTGATAAGGAGAGAGGTCTGCTGTCAAGACAGTTTAATATTTTCTCTGTTTGAAGAACAGGTGTGATCGGTTTATATTTTTCAGTTTTCTTGATGCTGTGATGGATTGGAGGTCTGCTCTGCAACCAATTAACAAATGCAAATTGGTGTGCAGAAAAATTCAACAAAAACAGAGGCACTTTCTCATCTTGCTGTTTTGCCTACTACAGGGTACTTTGACTCTGGAAAATGGTGATTGAATCCATTCCCATCGCAGAAAAAAGCCAGACGTCAGTTGGTGTTAGTGGGTTTTATGACCAATGGAAAAGTGGCAGACTAATGACAGAGGCTGAATTTGCAATGAAATGAAAAAAATAATGCATTTGTGTTGGCTGTATCAGTTTTCAGATAACTGTTCATAAAAAAACATTTTTTTTTAAACTGCACTATATCAATACAGTGCACAGGGGTAGAACTAACCTTTTTAAATGTTAAAAAATATATATTGGACAGCACTCTGATAGCTCAGATAGCTGAGAGAGAGAGAGAGAGACCTACTTGGGTATGGGGGAGAAGATGCTGAGCCCGGCTCGGAACTTCTTGATGGTCCCTCCGGCTTTGAACCAGCTGTGCCTCTTCTCCTGCTGGGCCTTGAGGAACTCATTACTGAGGTGCTTCCACTGCTGAGAGGTGAACGTGCTCAGGATCCTGCCATGTGACGAAAACAGCACGGCAGGGAGTGTGAGTGGCAGAGGCAGTGGGTGGATTATTACTCTTTAAATCAGATTCTGTTTGTCACTGGTGAACATTGTTATTTAGAGTGAGTGGGCTGGCCAACCAAAGGATTACTAAAAGGGATTAAATGTTTATGCCTCATACATCTATTTTGTCTATTAATGATTTTAGAATCAAAAATACGAAACCTAAAATTCTTATTCTATTTAAAACCTTTGATTTAGCAAAATGTTACTGATTATAGAAAACTAAGATTCAATCACGAACTCTACAATGTACGATTTTACTGTAAAGAATATTGGTGTTCGATAAAACAGCTCACATAACTCACTTTTTGAGCTGCAGGCCCAGGCTGAAGCCTTCTTTATTGGAGGGCTGGAACACTTCGACTGACGGCTCTGTGTAAAGATGACTAACATTATTACACAGTGTACAGACTCACACATACTCTCCCTATCGTGTAGCACATACTGTACTCACCTCCCACGCTCAGTGAGTAGCACAAATACCTAAAGTCCCTCCTAGAAAACCAACATCCACACTGACATCTTTACTCACCAGGTCCATCGAGGTACTGAGAAAGAGAAAAGCGCAGTCTCAGAATAATGGGCTCTGTTCTGATAACTTTCCAAGCTGTCGCAACCTCCTCCTGAGTCAGACACACACACACGTACACACATACACACACATATACAGAGTTAGCACCCTAATTAAGGCCATTTCTCATTACATAAATAAATCATGAGCACATGCTGCATCATAAGGGATGTGTTACTTTGCAAAATGTCAACGTTAGAATAGTAATCGGCAAAGATGGAGGATGTGCCCATGCAGAAAAAATTATGCTGACTCACGTCTAAGAAACCGATGTTAATGTGAAGATCGATGTCCACGTCATCGATGGTCCCATACTCTCTGTTCAGGGAGAAAACAAGAGACACGGTTAATTATATCTTCATTTAGTGTTTTTCTTCTGCACATTTTTCGGTTACTACAATTCTTTCAATTCAGTCAAATTCAGGACATTTATACCTACATTTACCTTTTTTCAAATGTTCATACTTATATTAAAATTGAAATATTCAATATTTAAATTTTTTTGCATTTTTTTGGAGGTGTTCAACTCAAAAACCTTCAGCTCTTCGAACGGTGTCTACTTCTTCATATTTTGTTTGAACCAAATTTAAACTTTCATTAAGTTTGTTGGTATCGTATATAACAGTTTCTATAACAGTATAATCACTGTTTAAGTGTTTCAGTATTTATGCTATATTTCTGATATTTTGGGATTTTATAATGAGTGTGTGAGTCTGTTTCAGCTTCAGTGGTGACATCTTCATGCACTCTAGGATTTTTTTCTACTATTTTCTATTTTTGTACTTCTTCTCTTGTAGCTCCCTCATCTTTCACTTCACACAGACAGATTTCAGCTCATTTTGTGGATGAATTTCTCATCTTTCATACAGTGTGCTTGAAGCAATAGGACTTATGATCTATTTACAGTGGCACCATCAACAACCAGAGGAGCCTTCACCAGCCACATCGACATCAATGTCCTCTCTATCTCTTGATCAAAATCATCATTGGGATTTGAGAACTGTCACATCTCAGTACTTTTTTACACAATCAAAACAAATCTTACATCTGTGTTCGGTAAAGCTTAACAGCACTCACTATGACACACACACATGCGCATCTCTCTATAGTATAATCCCCTAACCCCTTACCCTAACCTAAACCATCACAACTAAATGCCTAACCCTAACCTTTACCCTTACCCTAAAACCAAGTCCTAACCCTAAACCCGCCAATTTATTTTGTGAGGACAAGCCAAAATGTCCTCACAACGTCAACATGTCCTCACAATGATGGTACTGCCCCTTCCCCCCCAACCCCAAAGCATTTTCAGCAGGAAATGCCTTTTCTTGTTCATCATAAATATCTGATGCATTACACACAAGGGAGTATAATAACAGTGGTTAGCTATTTTCCTGGCAGTGTCTCGTATAAAATTGGTGTGTATAATGTATTTGAATCATGCATTTTAATTTGTGCTGCATAACAAATTAAGAATAGCCAGCAGACAGATTCTTATTTCTATGTGGTACTTTGATTTATTTCAAAAATCTCCAAAATAGTATAGGAGATATATATGTGTGTGTCTGCGTATTTGTGTGGTACCTGACAGACACAGCACTGTCAGTGTAGATATCTTTCACTGCCTCGATGTCAGCATCCAGTTGAGGGTGACGATACAGGTCAGCAGCACAGCTCCCCTGCAACAAGCCGAACATCAGCACTGAATTTACTACACATTCATCCTCCATGCTCCAAATGTCTTTATTGGAATTTTGAAATTATTTTACTCTGGTTGTTATTTCACATAATTAATAATACAATAGTGGGTATCATTAAATAAGAACTGTCACTGTTTCATTTGGCCTGGTCAAGTTTTCTTTCATAGTGCTACTACCTGGAGTGACAGATGTTGTATTCAATTATTTATTCTGCGTAACTTTTCTGCTTACTCAAATATTTTAACTATTTATTCATGAGTTTGAGCCGTTGAATTTCATCATTTACTTGTACCTATTTCAACCATTAAGCCTTAAATGCTTTTAATTCCATGTTAAGCTAAATATACCCAGTTCTCTATTATTGTTATCAATTTTTAGCTACATCTCTGCTCACTTGCTATTTTAAATGCAATCTGTTAGAGGCATTATGAGAAAAACTAGTTAACAAGAGTACGCTTTAAGTAACATTCAACACAAGTAGCGTAATTCAACAGTCTGACCCTATTTACCTTTATTTTCTGTGATCCCAGTTGGAAAATGTCGGAATTGTCCTTTAAGGATGATTTGCAATGTATTCGATGCAATATCAAGCACATCCCATATTAGCAATCAAAATCAGTTGCATAGCTGACAGGGTGATAAGGAGGAAGACTTGTAAACAGACTGCCTGGAGCAAGTCTTGTAAAGTGGAATGCCTTGACATAATCAGGATTTCACACAGTGGATATTTTTGTA